ACGTTTGGTTCGTAGGTTGGGGCTCAATCCACTTAGTGACACCAACCACAACCACGGCTATAGTCAATTAATATTTGACAGAGGAAGCAAGCACATACAATGGGCTAATGACAGTTTATTCAATAAGTGGTGATGGGAAAATTGGACAGATATGTGCAGGAAAATGAAACTAGATCACCTCTTACACTACATAGAAGAATACATTCACAATGGATCAAAGACTTAAATGTTAGACCCCAAACCATAAAAATGTAGAAGAAAACATAGGCAGCAAAATCTCAGACACTGGTCACAGTAATATTTTATTGGATATATCTCTCCAGGCAAGGGAAACAAGAGAACAAATAAACAAATGGGACTACATCAAACTAAAAAGTGTTTGCACAGCGATGAAATCATCAACAAAATAAAAAGACAACCCACAGAATGAGAGAACATATTTGTTGATACATCTGATTAGGGGTTAATGTTCAAAATTTGTAAAGTACTCACCAAACTCAACACCAAAAAAAAAAACACCCCACCCAACTCAATTAAAAAATGGGCAAAGGAACTGAGTAGACACTTCTTCAAAGAGGACATACAGATGGCCAATAGACATATGAAAAGATGCTCAGTGTCACTAATTATCAGAGAAATGCAAATTAAAACCACAATGAAATACCATCTTACACCTGTCAGAATGGCTATCATCAATAAATGAAAAAACAAGTGCTGGCGAGGATGTGGAGAAAGGGGAACAATCGTGCACTGCGGGTGGGAATGCGGACTGGGGCAGCCACTGGGAAAGCAGTGCGGAGATACCTCAGAAAATTAAAAAAGGATCTGTCTTTTGACCCAGCGATCCCACATCTGGGAGTATATCTGAAGGAACCCAAAACACTAATTGGAAAGAACATAGGCGCCCCTATGTTCATTGCAGTGTTATTTATAATTGCCAAGATATGGAAGTAGCCCAAGTGTCCATCAGTAGATGAGGGGATAAAACAACTATGGGACATTTACACAATAGAATTCTACGTGGCCATAAAAAAGAAGAAAATTTTACCCTTTGCAACAGTATGGGTGGACCTGGACAACTTTATGCAAAGTGGAAATAAGTCAGTCAGAGAAAGACAAATACCATATGATTTCACTCATATGTGGAATCTAATGAACAACCTGAACTAACAAGAAAGACAGACTCATGGATGGAGAGCAGAGGACAGCTAGTGGAGCAGGGGAAGTTACGGGGTGGAGGGACGGAGCGAAAAGAAAAAGGACTCAGGGACATGGGCAGCAGTGTGGTGATGGCTGGGGGAGGGGAATATAAGGGGACTAAATGGTAATGGAAAAAATATAATAAAGATTATATATTTAAACAAAGAATAAAAGAAAAAAGTGTCTCTTATTTTCTGGAAAATACTAAATGGACTTTTTTGGCCAATCCAATCCAATACTTCAAACTCTTTATTAGATAAGTCCCTTATCTCCATTTTATTAAGGGCTTTTTTCCCCCTGGGATTTTGGCTGGTTTTTTCATTTGAAAAATAATCCTCTGTTTCTTCAATTTTTTTGACTCCCTGGGTTGATTTCTATACATTAGATAAAACATCCACCTTAGCCTTGAAGCAGTGGCCTCTTCTAGGAGAGGAAACTTACTGTTCAACCCTGCCCTAAGTCTAGGTTGTCGTCAAACCTGTGTGATTGCCTAAGCAACCCTTAGTGGCTCCCAGAAGTTGAGGGTGTACCCAGATCTGCAGTGTCCCAAAGGGGAGGATCTTAGCACCTAGTTGCAAGCTGATTGAAAAGCAGACCCTCAGGTAGCAGCTTTTAAGTGTGTAAATATTCCTCTCACAGGGGAAGACAGGTAGACAGGCATTTCTTTCTGCTCGCTCTGTACTGAGCCGTGGGACAATAGCCATTTAAGAACTGTTTCTTTGTTTGCTGCAATGAACACAAGAACAGAAGCCCTGTGAACACAAGCCCTGCTAGTCCCCAGAGCCAGGCTACCAAGGGATCTGCCGCAGCCACAAATGGTGGGGCACCAGACATGCGCACGGGTTCCTTTCTAGGACCCACCCTCAACCCAGAGCAAAGCAGAGGGAGTGCAAGCCCGGCTCCTGCTGGCCTCTGTGGTCTTTGGGGAGTATTTCAGTAGGCCTCTAGGTGGGAGTTAATATTAGAGGCTTGGCTCTGACACCACAGCTTTGTAGGCCAATAGGCGTCTTTCACAGAGACTAGAAGCTGCCTCTCCTCTGGGCCCCGGTGGACAGCCATGTGAGTCCACGTGAGCCCTTTGAGAACTGTGTCTTGGATGAGTCAAATGGGTGAAGGTGGTCAAAATGTACAAACCTCCAGTTATAAAATTCTGAGGAGGTAATGTGAAGCATGGTGACTATAGTTAATAATACTGTAGTATATATTTGAAAGTTGCTAAGAGAGCTCTTGAAAGAACTGTTAGCATTTTCTATGTTATAATTCTTTGTCTCCCAAGTTCAAAATGTGGTCAGGCTGCAAAAAATAAAAATAAAAAAGAACCAAAACTGTTTTTCAGCTCACTACAGCCTTGTGTGTTTCATGGATGTAAGTCCTGCTGGCTTTTAAAGCTCCATGTGTTGGGGGCTTGTCTCTCAGGTGCAGCTTTTAAAAGGTGGGGTGTCAGATGCGGGGCCCAGACCCTTCATCTCTCAGGGAGAAGCTTGGAGCTGTGAGTTCCCTCCTGACTGTGGGCGACTGTGGCAGGGTGGGAGGCAGGGTGAGACATGTCTCAGCCTCTTCTGTTTCGATGTGGTTTTCTCCTCTGCCCGAGGGGTAAGAGTTGTTTGTCTAGTTTCTGGATTTCTTTCAGAGGACATTGTTCCGTAGGTAGCTGGAGATTTGGTGTGTCCTTAGGTAGAGGTGAGTTCAGGACCCGCCTGTGTCACCATCTGGAGCTGGAACCCTTTTCTGTATCTGGTTACTAGACTAGTGGGCAAAGTGCAGTCTTCAGCGCCAGCTGCCAGGGTAACTGCCTTGCCTGCCCACTTCCTGGCTGGGGACCTTGGGCCTTTGCCAAATGTTAGGAAGGGTTCACAAGGTTGCTGTAGGACACACACCCACACAGGGTGCTTAGAGCGGGGGGCACGGGGGCCTCAGCAACACACTTGATCATCTGTCTCCTCCCTCGAAAGGGTCAACTTCAGGAGGGCAGAATTGCCTTTGCTTTTTCCCAGCCCCCTCCCAGCAGCCCCTCCTACGCTTCACTCACCTGTCTTTCTCACCCTTCTGGGCACTGGTTGTGTGGTCCGTCTTGGGGAGCTCCCCACGGCTGATTAAACTGCCTGGTAAATTGGGAGAGATTGATGACAGACTTTCTTAGAGGAAATTTAAACTTTCCTAATAGCAGCACCATTCGTGTGTAACTGCCTAAGATTTTGTGGGTGTATTAGGAAACATGACTAATTGCAATGTTTTACAGTATTCCAGGTGTGTCCACATTAAATGTCATAAATATGACTTTATTTTAATGAAGTGTCAAATGCTCTATAACATCTTCAGCAAGGCCCCGCGATGAGGCAGGTAGACCACCAGTGCAACGTGTGCAGCTTTTTTTCAAAACAGCACAGACCAACGTATGACAGAGCAGAGGGACAGAGCACAGGACGCAGAGGGAGGTGGCATCAGATAGGTCAGATCAGCTGGGATCTGGGAAGGAGCCAGTTTTTGGGTTCAGTTGTCCAACTGAGATGGAGGAATGAAAAGTAGCTTGGGAAAGAGAGCTCACAATTGGCAGCCAATTATATGCTAGGCACTTAAAAGTGTATTACTTTGTATATTTCTCATGGTCATCAGTTTCTAAATGGCAGAGTAGGGGTTTGAACCTGGGCCAGACCGACTTCTTAAGCTGAGACTCTACACACAATATTTCTACTTTCTGCTGTTAGGATAGGAGACTTCAGTGGGAAGTATGGTTGGATTCTGTGCCAACTTGAAAATGCTCTGGACTCTTGGGGTGGTGAGCACACAATACAATATACAGATGATGTATCATAGAACTGTACACCTGAAACCTATATAATTTTATCACCCCAATAAATTAAATAACAACAAAAAAAGAGAAAATGTCCTGGGCTCAGCTGTTTAGAAAAAAGGCTGCCTTTGGTTTATCTATGCAAATATATTTTATTTTGTTCTGCTGTGCTGGTCAGCAGTTCCATGGCATTTAGCCAGTGTTAGCATCGCCCTGGGTAGATGGTGATGTCAGTCTTCACATGCACTGCTAGCAATGTAGTTTTTCTCTGGGAATCGTACATTCAATGACAGCTGCGTTATATACAGTGCTTATTTAAACAAATGATAATAGAAAACATGATGCTAGAAGAGAAAACCAAACCAGATAACTACCTTTTAGCTGTGCTTGGTAGGTAGTGACATCCTTGACAGAAAAGTGTGTCTGATTTTAGACCACAATTCAAGAGGCAGAGAGAACTCTAAAGAAAAGCACAGCTATGTATGATTTGGAAAAGTACAAGTTATTGGAATGAAGAAGTAATCTTTTAAGCTTTTTTTTTCCTTAAAGCTTACTTCAAACAAAATAGACAATAATTATTTTTGTCATGTCTGATGAAGACAAAGAAATTTTTTATAAAGATTTTATTTACTTTTAGAGAGAGGGAGAGGGAGGGAGATGGGGAGGGAGAAAGGGAGAAAAACATCGATGTGCGAGAGACATCGATCAGTTGCCTCTCACACGCCCCTGACTGGGAATCAAACCAGCGACCTGTTGGTTTGCAGACTGGCACTCAACCCACTGAGCCACACCAGCCAGGGTGAAACTTTTCTTCTCCTAAGTTAGAACAGCTTTTCCCAAACTGATGCCCAAAGGAAGTATTTCATAGATGGTAAAACAAATACCTTAAAAATTTTTTATTGACGATAGTTTGAGGAATCCTCTTCTTAAGGACTCAGGGTAGTCGTGAGGGGTCCAAACCCATTTTTTAAAAATATGACTTTCTATTTCCAGAAAGTGGTCTATGTGGGGGTTGGGGGGTGGGGGCGGGGGTTAGCTTGGGAAATGCTGAAATTTCTCATTGTAAGATAAGTTTGGATAAATGTATGTTTGGATAGTTCACTCATGTGGTCTCAGTTTTATATCCTAGTATTCTGATTTCCAGCTATGCTTTGTGACCACTTTGGTAGACAAACAGGTGCATAATCTTTAGTTTCTGGTCCACTGATTTTTCAAAGGAGGCATCCAAACCAAGAGCCCCAGATTAGGAGCTGGCTGAGGAGCTAATTTGTAAGATAGTGAACCACCTCTAATAGCTTCATCACCCATGAACAAAGGAGCGGGAATTGACGCCTTCAACTTATTTCCAGTGCTAACATTCTGACTTCATTGTTCAGAAATTAATTTGTGTGGAAAGGCCAAACGCTTACTTCCATGGAAAAGTGACATAATCCAGAATGACCGCACTTCTAGAGTTGCCCTCAACGCAAAGGAAGCGGAAAAAGAGCCTCCCTTTCTTAAATAACATTTATTGTTGCTGCAAAGAAGTCTTTCATGAGAACAGTTCTCATGTTTCTTTAGAGATATATTGGTTATGATTATAGAAGCAAATTTCACTGAGATGTTATACATGAAGTATGCCTGACTAGACTCTGAATTCAGCAATCTAATATTCACGATGTGTTGGCTGCCATTTAGTTATTTACCCAAACATGCCATCAAAAAAAAAAAACAAAACCAAAAAACAAAAACAACAACCCCAAAAGGCCAAGGGCTTGCTAAAAAGGAGAAGCCTAGAAAAGATAAAATTGTTCCTGCAGCAGTTCTGTTCAACTGCAGTCTGTGTGTGCAGGAATAGTGTTCCCGTGGGGAAGTGTTATGCCCAGTGGTTTCTCGGTTTTAACGGTGGGAAAGCCCTTGAGGTTTTCTGCGGCTGTCAGGAGGGAGAGGGAAATTCCATTTACTGAATCCAGTCAATGTTCAGGCACCGCGCTATGAATGCAAACATATCTGAGACTTCTTCTATCACTTTGGCTGTGGGCTTCCCAGCCCCGTGGCCCGCCTTGGTGTCCACGTGGATAAGCAGGGGGTTGGTTTGCTTCCGGCTGCGGCCCACGATGTACTGAAGGGTGGCAATGAACTTCAGGGAGTGAAGGGGGACCACACGGTCATCGTGGTCGGCAGTGAGGAGCAGCATGGATGGGTACTGGATGTCGTCTGCATCTGGTAACTTCACGTTATGTAACGGAGAATATCTGAAAGGCAAAGCCATTTTCATGATGTTAAATATCAAAAGCAGAGTTGTTTTTTCACTAGGATAATCAAGGAGGACTGCTGGGCACAGTAACCTATGTGGTTAACCAGCCTAACATCACTAGCAACAAGGACTGTAGCTACTAGCACATGGGTGACAATTGCAGGCTATGATTGCACCATTGTTTAGTCCTTAACTGGCCAGGGCTACTGGAAATTGGGACGAGCTCTGTCATTGTTTTGGCCCCTAATTTGGAGGACTATATAAGAAAAGAAATTCACAGGGCTGTTGAAAAAAATCTCACCTATATGCACATGTACTGTCTTGAGGAATATTTTCATAGTCTTTAGATTTATTTTTTCACTACTACTAAGTAGACTGCTTGTCTTTTTAAAACATTGCTTGTGCCCTGGTTGGTGTGGCTCAATGGACTGAGTGCCAGCCTGCAAATCAAAGGGTCACTGGTTCGATTTCCAGTCAGTGCACATGGCTGGGTTGCTGGCCAGGTCCCCAGTAGGGGGTGCATGAGAGGCAATCACACATACTGACGTTTCTCTCCCTCTCTAAAAATAAATAAAATCTTGAAAAAAATCACTGATTGTGACTATGATAGGTGCGAGACTGTCTTATGTTGAAAAACTTGAAATCAGCTTTCTTTCCCTTTAATATCTATAAAACCTTTATTCCAGGTTCCACTTGGCAGTTTTAGAAAGATTGAAGATCCTCTCTGGGCCTACTTCCCTGTCTGTGTCGCTGGGATGGGTGCTGACCTCCTGCTGGCTTCAGCAGAAAGCAATTGCCTCTGGCCAAAGGTGAAAAAATTTATGGAGGACCAGCAAAGGCACCTTCTGGAATACAAGGTAAGTGGCCAGTAACGATAACAAAAAGGGTTTTAGAATAAAAACATAGCCGAATTAAACAGTGATTAATAATAGCTATATGAGGGAAATCTCTGGACAGTTTGTCTTTACATTTTATTCAATATGGGTGTCATGGTTTTCAAAGGGTTCAGCATTAATGAATATAATAAACTATTTCAGTTGAATTTTATTTTGGAGGGTAGTTGAAAAAGGTAAAATTTCTACTCACTTAACCAAGTCAAGGCTAAACATTCTGGGTTTTGTCTCCCAATGGATAAGATGGGATGGCAATAGATCGGTTTTCTGATCGCATTTCAGAGTGTTACTGGATTAGTCCTAGCCCTCCAGATAACAGGTAACAGTTAGTTCTATGGGGAAACAAATTTGGACAACTCTGCCTGTTAATATATGCTGCCACCCCCCGACCCCGCCCCTGTCCTGCCCCCAAGATTCACATACCGCATGTATATATTAAAGATTCTGAGAAGTTCTGCTGGGAAAAAAAACCTGTTAAGCTTTAATTATCCAGCTTTTTGGGGGGGACTCCATTAATAACCCAGATACTGCTTCATGGGACACACTCCAGTTGTGCAGGGTTTGAGCAGCTTCTTGAAGACCCCTTCTGGCTGTAGTGTGTGGGGCTAGAACCCTGCTCATTTGGGAGCAGCAGGTAAGAGGAAATACATGCCAGTGAGTGCTTGGCTGGAAAATTAAAGTTCAAAGTGGGAATATATACGTGTAGGCAAAAGTATGTTTACAGTTGTAATATAAATAAAACAATAATAAATAATAATGCAAGAATAGACTATGTTTCACATAGTCACAACTGTAAAACTACCTTTGCCCACCCCATATATCATAGACATCTTAAGAGAAAAATATTTAGAAGTTTTTCTTTTTTTCTTTTTTTGCTTTCAAATTAACCTTAGAAGTATCAGGTTCCATCAAATATTTTACTGTATTTGATATCGATTAATTCAGTATTTTCAGTTGAGTTTAAATGGGACTTATGCCCACTAAATGAGTATTTTCCCTAAGTTAATTTGAACTATGGCTTCTGCGGATATTCAGCTTTTACCATATGTGTCAATGAGGCTACTTGTGCATTTAAAAGTAGTAGCTTTACAAAGTCAAGTCCCCTTCTTCCCCACCAAAGAACTGAATTTAGTAGTTTAAAAATATCCAATTCTAAAAATTCAGTCACTTTAGCTGAATTTCTTATTGGAGAGAGCTAGCCATAAAAACCATACAAAATGAAAGAAAAACCTGATACATTTATAATTGACTGAAAAGACTGTGACACAGGCCTCCTGTGTTATTATTCCAAGGGCAATTCCTAAATCCTGCTGACAGTCCCTAGCCTCTGTGTGTGGGAAGTAAAGAGAGTGAAGAGCCAAAAAAGGATGTGGCTTGCAGTCTTGAGAATCTAAATATCTGCTCTTTTCTCATTATCGCCAAAGTGGTGGAGGGATAGGAAAGAAGGAAGCTGTTCACTATTTCATAACGCAACATGTAGTTTCAAATATACATAGTTATGCTGAGAGCACAAAATAAGTTTAACTGTACTTGCACATATTTCCCTTCATTTCCATATTTCTTAATTTAAAAAAGGAAATCTCATATATATTGATGTAAGTTATAATGACACCTTTTAAAAAAGTGGTTTTTGATTGATGTACCACCAATTTAGTAGCTTTTTAAACCCTTATTTCTTTCTTAAGCGTGAAACCAGACATCTTTCTCTGCAGTTGTCACTGGGGCCCTTTCTTGCTGCTAACTTGTTTGCTGGCCTGCTCTTCCAGCTGCATGGCCAGGCGCAAGGCCACGATGACATCTTGCGGGGGCTGAGAAGTGCAGGGCTGCTGGGCCAGGGTGGGCTCTGCCTTGTGCACACAGGCCTCCCGGTGGCGGTCTGCCTGCGCAGTCACCTGGGAGAGCTCAGGGCAGCCTGGCCTTTGCTGTATGATCTCCCTGAGCTCCGCCGTGGCCCTCTCCTCCAGCTCCCGGGTCTGAGTGGCAGCTTCATGAAAGCTGGACACCTGGGCTGACGGTTCTTCTTCTTCCTTAGGTAAACTGCCTGTGATCAGGGACCGGTGAGAGCTGGCTTGTCTCTTCTGTTGCCATGTGAGTTGGCTGCTCCCCACTAGGCCCACGGTGGGGGGCCAGCTCCTCGACCCTGTCTGCATATCTGAGTGTGTTCAAAGTACACTCACAGGCGCTTATGCCTGGTGAGATCAGGGCGATCCTACAGGTCCTCGAGTTCTCCCTGATAAAGCATTCCTGCAGCATCTGTCAGCTTGCTCTAGAAGAACAGGGTGTGAGCCTGGCTTCTGTTGATTTCTGCACCTTCCTTGTGGGTCTGCCGGTCAGCACTGGAAGTGTCTGCTCCTTGTTCACTCCCTGCCAGATGCACCAAAGAGGCCTTGACATGCACTTTGCCTTTGGCTCAGAGAAGAAACTGGAAAGGCGGTGTGGGAATAGGAAGAGGTGGAGGTGAACGTTCTTCCCAGTGGTCCTGTAGGCACTGTCTATGTTGATCATCTTGATGACGTTGCCAGCGCAGTTAACCGCGTGCTCCTGCAGCCCCAGCACCTGCTCCTGCTGCTTCCCATCCTCCAGCACATGCGTCTGGCCTTGGTGAGCAGGTCGAACAGCTTCCCATTAAAGATCTCAAATAATGTCACCTAGCCTTCAGGCGCAGGTTCTGGTGGCAGGGCTGATTCTTCAGGAGGAAGATGCCTTGGCAGGCCATCTCCAAGATCCCTTAGGGTGCACTCTGGGCTTTCCCAGAGAGGCCACTTCCCATCTGGCTATGCCAAACAGGTTGCTTTTCGGCCCTAGAAAATTGTGTGTGCCAGTGGCTTTGCTGTGAGCCAACAGACAACTTCATTTGAAGCTGTTGCATCAAACGCAAAGTCAAAGTAGGACGCCTGGTTCTCCAAATACTTTGCTAAGCCCACCTTTCACCCGGGCTCATGTATGAACAGGACACACTTGCTAGGAACAGAAATCACATCAATTTCTTCTTTTTTAAAAAAGACTTATTTATTTGTAGAGAGAGGCAAAGGGGACAATTTCCTTAACAGGGGATCTGCCCATGAAAGGAAATTGAAAGGGTGACATTTTGGCTTGCAGGCTCATGCCCAAACCACCGAGCCACACCGGCCAGGGCTCACATCAATTTCCTTCTTGGTCAATTCTTGTTTTTTTCAGAGGGTGTTTCCTAACACAAACACTTATCCTGTGCTTTTCCATAGAATCAGTCATATGTAGTAAGTGGATGTAGTAAGTTTACTCCAAAATAGCCCAAAATTCTTCAGTCATCCAGGCAAATTCCAACTTTGGAAAGCTGCTGTCACATTCCTCAGCTTGCTTTATTCTCATTTCAACATTCTGGGCCCTCTTCTTGCTGCCGCTTCATTTTTTCCATTGCCTTAATTTCTTTCAAAGGGAATTTGCAGGTGTGGGCAGCTCCACTTCCACATTATCCTCCTGAGAGGTGATGCTAACTGATGAGAGACTGGATTTATGAGTAGAGCAACTTTGGAATGAGAATTTTGGACTTAAATGATCTGTGTATTCATTCCTGTCAGGGCAGGATATCTTCCTTTGGGTGTAAGGGAAGAGGCTGTTCTGGGTATATTGAGGTCACATCATCAAAACCAAACTCTTTGCCCTTTGTGGCATCTCCTATGTCCATTCCCCTGAAAGAGAGGCTTTCTCCAAGTCTGCACGTACACTGGCACTGTGCATTAAGCCTCACTGCCGACGGCTTTCCTAATGACACGGGTATGAGACCTGCCAGAGCTGCGGTAGTTGCTTGACCGAAAACAGAGACAGAACTGCGAGCTCCTGGAGCGCAGGCATCTGATCTGTCCTATTCCCTGTCTCCCAGTAAACCTGGATTTCTTATGTCACAGTTCTGTGACTGAGAAGTCTGGGTTGGCTCAGCAGGGTTCTCTCCTCTGGATCTCTCCAGACTGAAATCAAGGTGTCAGCTGACTGGGCTCTTACCAGGAAATCCTGGGGGCGGTGGGGGGGATCTATTTCCGGACTCATTTAGGTTGCCGGCAGAATCCAGTTCCATGAGGCCATGGGACTAAGGTCCCCATTTCTTTGATAGCTGTTGTTCTCAGGTCCCAGAGGCCCCCTTCTTTCATGTTCAAAGCCACCGTTGGTGGGTCAAGTTCTTCTCATACTCCCAGTCTCTGTGACCCCCCTTTCTACGGCACCCCTGACCCCGGCCAGAGGAGGTGCTCTGCCTTTACGGGTTACGTCATTATAGATGGGGCCCATGAGGACAATCCAGGACGCTCTTCTTATTTCAGTGTCCGATGATTAGGAACCTTAATTTAATCTGCAAAGTCCCTTCACAGCAGTACCTAAGATTAGTGTTTAAGAGAAAAAGGGGACAGGAATCTGAGGGAGGAGGTGCACATACAGAATTCTTTCCCATCTCTGTAGTTTGTGTTTGTTAAACACAAGATCAAAACAAAGAAGACAGGTATTCCCATCACTTCTAGTTTAGTTGTAAATTATATGCAAATAAGAGACATGGAGGAGAGCAAGGAGTCAACACCATAATTCTGAACACTCAATCAAAAGGATATCAAATCGTCAGCAACATATACATCAATATGAATTAAAATCTTACTTGATAAGCCATTTAAAGTGGTGTTCGCTCTCAGAGCACCCATAGTCGGTGGTCCAGGCATGACCGATGGTATACTTATGGAACTTCAGCATGTCCATTACTCCAACTTGGGCAATAACACAACCAAAGAGGTCAGGACGCTGATTTGCACAAGCAGCTAAAAACCAAGATAGAAAGAAAAGGGAGGCAGTTTATCATTAAATATCCAAATAAACCAAAACACAACATTTGGATTCTTTCAGAACCTTGGTTGCCTTTTTTCTTAGAGCACAGGAAGAAACCATCATAAATCACCTGCTTAATGGTCCACAAGCTTTTCCCTCTCCTTCCAATATATTCGAGGGTGGAATATTCTCATCAGTAACAGAGACATACTCCCCAAAATGAATCTCGATGGCGGGGCGGCGGCGGGGGGGAGCTATTTGAAAAACTCAAAGATTTTCAGAAAAACCTGTGTTCCCTCCTCCCATCCCTACTTGCTTTCACAGGTGATAGGAAGCTTAAGAAACCTGTTTGGGACCTCAAAACAAGCCTGTGATATTGTGATATAATAATATATATTTTGGTCTTTGTTCCTGGCACAGAACTCCAGAGCCTCTCTCACAATTCATAACTAGCCCCTTTCAACCATACCTGAGTTTATGCTAATGAGGTGACTCTTTGTGGGCTCCTAGACAGCTTCAGGGTGGGAACCGGTTACCAGAGGAACCAACTGTGTGACTGCCACGCCACCCCCACCGACCCCACCGGCGGGGATAGGTCAGTGAATATTTTAGTGGGAAGGCTAAAGAAGCGAACAAGCAACGATAGCACTGAGAAAATTCAGGCGCTATGAAAGTGGGGTATAGGGGTGCCTAACCAGGTGTAAGGCAGTTAGGGAAGAAGTCACATCAAAGCTGGTGTGCCCAGGACTTAAGTCAAGGGATCTGGACTTTCCCTCTTCTGGGAAAAATCACAGCTCCCAGCCCAATTCTGACTTCAGAGCTTATTCATAATACTGAATCCTGAGTCCTACCCTTGGAGAGCTGGATTATCTCAGAGGCGGGAAGGATAGGAATCTGCCCCTTTTTAAAATGAGCACTCAGAATCCCGACGGGGGCATGCCATCTCTGCAGGCTCCTTAAGGAAACCAGACACAAACTAATCCTGAATATAAAACTCTGGAAATATGAAGGAGTTATTGTATGAACCAGTAAATAACAGAACAATTCTCCTACTATTGGCATCAGATGGTATTTTTAATATCGCTTCCTGGTAAATTTCAGATTTGCTTTTAGTTCTTCTCTTTCTTTTACACTTCATATGTAACTCATATGCAAATTCAGGTGTCTCCAATTCAAAATCTACCCAGAATATGACTACTTCTCACTACTTCCGTCACTACCCCTCCAGTCCAAGCCACCAGTGTCACTCACTGGACAGAAGTCTCCCACCTGGCCTGCTCTTTTGCCCTTAACTTCCCTTCCATCCACGCTATCACCATAATAGGATCAATGCATGAGCCTGTGAAAAAACCGGTCACATTATGGGATTTCTCCTCTCGAAACTCCCCCAAAGGCGTCTCCTTTCCCAGTACACTGGGTCCTTTGGTGTGGCTCTGCGGTCCTGCCTGGTTCGGGCGCCTCCCCATCACCGTCCCGTCGCTCACTGTGCTGGACTGAAAGCTCCGCGAGAGCAGAGGTGCCGTCTGTGTTGTTCATAAAAATTTTATTAACATACTTTCTAAATCTACAGCAAATTATTTTGGACATCTCTATTTTACCTCCAAAGGGAAATGCTCTATATTCTATTGGGGTAAAGAGTAAGAAGAGGAGTTCAGGTTTTGGCATGACTCAGTGTATCTCTACGGCAAGGAAACTGGGTGCGCATGCTGCTACCTGACTGCCCGCCCCCAAAAGCTGTAAACCGAAAGCCCTGAAATTGTCAGTGTGTTTGAAGCTGAGCTTATATATGCTATTCTACACGTGCACAATGGCCCCTCATGTCCTAATGACACTGGATGTAAGACTCAGTCAGCAAAGTTCAGGCCTACCATAAATGTTCATTACAATGTTCAGTGCTACGGAGAGAGAAAATGCAAACTAAACTTTCATTAACTACCCAAAATTAGGAACTTAGAGGCAGTGCCACAGAGAGACTGAAAGAGCAGAATCTAAAACCACTGGATGCTCGGCCCCAGGCCCAGCACCGCCACTTCCAGCCGCGGCGCACAGGGCCAGCCGCGCGACTCTCAGGGCCCAGTGTGTCCTCCTCCGCAAGACGGGCGTCTACCAGCCCCCGTCCCCCAGGCTGCGTGCCCGTCAGGGCACAGGCTGGGCCTGGTACACAAGGTGCTCCTTACTTGGGAAGTATTTCTGTGCACAATTTCATTCCTATCATGTTGTGGTTCCATTTTTACATGTACCTCGTTTTCCTCATGACATTTCTCTCTCTACCCGCAGCATTTAGCACGACTGGGTGCAGTTACTCAACAAATGTTACCGATCATCACCGTACAAGTTCTGAGTAACACAATCAGGGGGCTTATCAGGCTCTGTACTGTGCTGCCTGAACCCTTGAAACCTGGGGCTGTTTGTGGGGAGAGGGGTTTCCCCAGCTTTCCAAGCCTGCACGAGTCAAGTCTGAGAAAGTGGGTTCAGCTGGGACTTTAGGCCCAAATACAAATGGCTTTTGCTTTCTTTGTACCACAGCTTCCATCCATGAGCCAAATGACAGTGTACTTGAAAACCCCGAATGTTAACTAGGAAATACAATGAATAACATTCCGTTCTTACCCACTAAGAGGCCTCCATTTGAACCACCATTAATAGTCAGCCTCTTGGGAGACGTGTAACCTTCCTTGATAAGATACTCTGCCGCACACTGGAAGTCATCGAAGCAGTTTTGTTTGTTGGCCAAAATACCACCTACAATGTGCCAGAGTGAAAGATAGTTAATTAACAACACAAAACATTAGGAAACACAACAGATTAACCTGAAGGGAATTCAAGTGATGGTAGGGCAAAGTTTCAACTATTGCTCAATTTAATTTAAACACAATGTGCTGACACTACATTTAGAGAAATGTCTTTTAAATTTTCTTATGTGTTGTGAAAATCCATCATCAATTGCACAGTTGCGAATCCATCTGGATTCGTATTTTTTCCTAAGAAGTTCTAGAACTTAAAAGACAAATGCCCCACAGGGCAAAAAGAGATGATCTGTTATGTCAGTCAACTGTGAGAATGAAAAGAACCTGTACTTGGGAGAAGCTGAACTTAAAACTGAAACACGACCTGGAGCAATGTTCAAATCCTGTTTGAGTCCCACCCCGCGTGTGACAACTGGACAATGGCTGCTGGGCCCTGCGGCCTCCCGCTCCCCGGGAAGATGAAAGTGCTTTGCAGAGGTGTGCTTCTCATCCCTCTTTGCAGGGGTCTGAAATGGGTAAGTGAGGAGTAAGTTCTCCAGTTCTGCTGTAAATAAGAATTAGGTAGAGATGTTTCTCAAGTCTTGAATGAAGAGGGTCTCAAACATCTCCCCAGGGAATCTGGGCTTTCTCATCTAGAGGCCATTCCAATGTACAAAACCACACAAGGCAATTACTTAAAGAGAGGAACATCCATAAGATCCTGGAATGTCTAAAAGTAAAAGGCAAACGGCCCAGGCAGGCCCTCAAAGGGACAGATGTCTGAAGTAACGGCCTATGAAGTGAAGAAAAGGCAGACAGATCTAATTAGATATTTGAGATCAACCACATCTGCAGAAATTCAATTAAAGATGAAACAGTGTTACTGAAGAAACTTTCTCATATCAAAACAAATGCTATTAAAATTTTAATAAGAAATTATTGGTGAATTAGAACAGCTAGGATTACTTAGTTTCCATGAATAATATCATTTTGGGTACATATATTTTAAAGAGCATTACATTAACAGAATGGAATTTAGCTTTATCAATGTTCAGTATACTAGGGTCTAGCTGGAAATGGTCTGTTTCTGGTCCTTTCACTGCCTTACTTTGGAGAAAGTTTATGAATCACTTTAAATATGGTTTACTTTTAGCCTCAGTCAAGCTCCCCAAGGCATTTGGATAATAAACTGGTTCTAATCAATAGAGAGATGAGAGAGTGTTGACCAGGACCAAGGGCACTCTGCCCTACCAGAGCATGGTGGGCACCCTGATGACCGGAGGGGTATTATAGAGAAGACCACAGGGCTCTGCGCAGGTGGGTGCGTGTTTGGGTACACCACAAACATTTAAACCAGGAAATCAGGCGAGTTAAGGGGGCTAGACTTAGCATGTGGAAGTGGTATGGAAATCAAGTGTATGGTACATAGAGATTCTATTCTGTTTATTCTCTTTTTATCAGACATCTCTTAATATCACAATTTTATTGTATGTTTTTAGTGCAACTAAATTCTAATAGCAGGTCAGAGTTAAAATTATATAATGAATTCTATGGTGTTTCAAACATACTGACAGCTGATAAAGCCTTTGGGGATAATTGGGCAGAGGTCGACCTCAGATGGCAGGCAGGTGCGGAGCCCACATGTCAATTAGGAGCTCCTGCTAAGATGCTCACATAGCCTGTTGCCTGCTGTCAGCCCTTGGGATGCACGCTGGAAGGCCAGCAGTCAGGCCTGGGCCTTTCCTACATCTTGACACCTAACAGGTACTTATGCAAAATCTCTTCACAGATCTACCATCATCTCTGCTGATTTGATTTGATGCAGAAAACCAGAGCTACTGGCCTAGGCTTGGGAAGGTAGAGAAGAACAAGTGGGTGAAGGATAGTCTCTGATGTTCCTTCTGTGGTGCTGCTGACCAACCCCAAGCTCGAGTGGCTACCTTTGTCCCAGAAGGCTTTCTTACAAGTGCTGGCTGATGATGCGAAGGGAAGGGGCACGGAGCTGGTGGGCGCGAAGGTGCCATAATCCCCTCCAAGGGACACAGGAATAAGCAAGCGGAAACCATCTTCTTCTTGCTATGGGTGAGTCTATGAATTCCAGATACACAAAAGCCAGGGAGAGGGGGTGTGCCCCATATACAAAGAAGAGGAAGAGGTAGGACTTTAAAAATAAAAATTATTATTCTTTAACAAAGTTGTGACAATCCGGAAGTGGAGCTGAGTACAGGAGCAATAGCCCCAGTCAACTAGAATGCATGGTTCAGGAGGCCAGAGGAGAGAGATGGAATCACTCAAGCCAGAAAAGGACAATGACATAGTTCGGTGTCTAAAACCTGCACGTGACGGTCACAGCAGCAATGCCAGGAGGACACTGTTTCTCAGTAGTGTTGGAGAAATTAGAGAAAACAAGCAAAAGGAGGCCCACACTGAGAACGGAAAAGCTCTATTTTAGGTTGTTTTTTTCTTTGAAAAGAAAATGACCTGTTCTGAGATAGTCAAATAACACCCAACAGTAAAAGCTAGGCTAACGGGAGACAGAACAAATACCACAAAGTGCCGCCGAGACTCGCTTATGACAGTGACAGATAAAAATCTACTCGATGCATCGCCAACAAAACAAATAATTCGGATTATGGTCTATAGTGAATACTTCTGACAAATAGGTATTTCATTAAACAGAATACAAAGGAAAATAAAATGTGTAGAAGAGGGTATGGGGGATAAATGGTGATGGGAGGAGACGTGACTTGGGTGGTGAACACACGATACAATGTACAGAGGATGTGTTGTGGAATTGTGCACCTGAAACCTGTATAATTTTACTAACCAGTGTCACCCCAATAATCCAATAAAAAAGTGAAAACAAAGATGAAGTTGTTTTTAAATGGGGAGTGGAGCCTGCCATGTGTTTGAAAATATCCTCATTTTTCACTGGTTCGGCAAAATGCTTTTTCTGTTCCTAATCCCCTCAGCTCATTCAAACAGAGCTTTGACTATGCCATACTTGTATTTCTGTAGAGAAGACACCTCACCTTTATGCCACGTCTCTCCGTATTCACCACCTCCTCTTATGTTGGCCACTGCGAGGACACCGCCCATATGTCTCACAAAGATCAGCCGGGACACGCTGAGAAACAGTGAAAACAGTTAACCTTCCTAGTAAACCGCCTAGTAAAGACCATGCTATTTCTCTGCATCTCAAAAAAAAAAAAAAAGTATCCCCAAAAGACACTCCATGTGTAATACCATCTAAATTGGAGCTCAATATTTTTATATTACTTGATTAAAATAAAAAATACATAACTTCTCATTAATGATTAACTGCAACGCTCACACATTTCATAAGCATTCCGCATACCTCCTTTTGCTATATTGGTAAGTAGTTCACTGTATGAAGTGGGAATACCAAATTCATAATGCAAACAGAGGGAAAAAACAGGCCCTCACTTCCTACTGTGTCTGTCTTTTAACAGCTATCTTGGCAAAGAAAACACTGCCAGCCACGTGCCACTGGCCTGGTGTGCATGGTGCTGGGCTCGCAGGAACACCCAAAAATGGCCTCTGCTCTGCTACCATGTTTTTTGTTTTTCATGATCTCTCTCCATGTTGCTCAAAATGGAAAATGGGAGCTCCTTCTGAAACACGGATTTTAATCAGTTTTCTAGAAACTCAGATGTTAAACTAGAGAACATATGGTGAGAGAGAGGGAGAGGAGGTGAAGGACACAGACCAGGAAATAAGAATGGAGAGCTCATAGCTGGAGGGTGTTTTGTAAGAACAAACAAGAAACTACAGCACAAAGCATCTAGGGAGAAGAGTTAAGTCCTTTGGAAAATTTGGATTTTACGTTTTTCTCCTCCTCTTTCTACTCTGATCCTAAAAATGCTGAGTGACATTTACTTTTCTGGCTGCTGTTATTTAAGTTTAAATTGTCTTTGAGAACTATTTCTGAGAATTTTATCATTCTTTCTCTTAGTAACTGGGGAAACCATGGGCTTCTGCAACCTGGGAGGCTCTAGATGGTGTGGGTGCTACTTTCCTGGATCTCGAGGATGAAGAGAAAAGGAGAGCTGGGGCAGGCGATGAGATTGGCCAAATGGGTTTTCAACTGCTTGGTCTTTTCTTCAACACTGTTCATGCACCTCGGATGGCCTCGACTGAAACTATCAGCATACCCACTGGGTTCTGGGATGAAAGTGGTAAGGGGCCCTTCCTTACTCATCTTCCAATTCCCAGCAGAGCAGGCTGAAGAAATTGTTGCACAAATGAAGACAAGTGATGTGAACTATAGATCTGTTAGACAAGTGATGTGAACTACTGCCTTGCATTCTTAAACTAATAGTCACAGAGAATAAAATGTGGCTTCTGGTTTTACTACATAGACATGGATGTTCATGAAACAGTGAATCTCATCACCTGGGAAATTCTGGTAAGAGATGGGAAGTTCGTCTGTGGGCTCAGGCTTTGCCTAGGATGGTGCTTGGAATAGAGGAAGCATTCTAGAATGCAGAATGGCAATGTCATTGTACAGTGAATGAAGGGCACCCACTGGTACACTCATATCATGATGCCTCAAAAATCTTCTGAAAATACTGTTCTACATTATGACTTTACACCTTCATCAGCTCCTCATTAACAAAAAGACAAAATCAAGCTCTTTAGCTAGATGTTCAAGACAGTTCATAATTTAGCTATAAACCACGTTAGGGCAGGGACAATGTTTCTTACTTCATTAAATCCTAAGTAATTAGCAGAATGCTCTACTGATAGCAAGCACTTGAAACAAAGTAACATTTTCCTTATATTTAAATTTGGGACGGCTAGTGGAATCTACTCTGAATTTATGTTTTCATAGTTGCCAGTCCATAAATTTCTTCCCAAATAAGAAAGATGAATCTATGAACAAGATTCCATGGGAGGCACTACTTAAAAGTTGGCTAAAAACTGATCTTGTTGGTAGGAAACTCCTTGCTTTTATTAAAAACGCTCAAAGCAAATTCCATTTTATACTATGAATGGGATTTTAAAATCAATTTTGCAAATAGCTGGCAAGGGATATTTATATAAACAATAGCAAATATATAGATTTTTCTCCCTGAAAACACAAGTTATTGGGAAATAATCACAGAAACAGTGTAGAACAGTTTAAAATGAAGTAACAGCATACAAAGAAAATATATTTATGGCTCAATGTTAAGACAGTCTATTTTAAGACTTGTGCTGCTGAAAAAATATAATCATAAGCTGAAAAAAAATCATTCCTTCTGAAGAGAATACTGAGGGCAGAGGTGGTAGCAAATGCCAAACACTGAAGGCAAGAGCTTCCTTTGTTCAAAAATCAACTGATACCAACCTTCTGCAGCCTGACAGCTGGCTATAGCTTTGGCATCTAGGTCCCAAACAACCTATTCCACTGAAGACACAAGATTAGCTTGTAACGATCCTGAAATTCCTGACCAAAAATGCATGTAGTAACTCATTAATTCTGCCTTCTTGTGAAAACGACAAGCAAGAACTGTAAGATTAAATACATTAGAAAAACATGATTTAATAGACTATGCTCTGGTTCCTTTCCACTGTATGGAGGGGAACAACTATTTGCTGAAGTGCCAAGAGTGTCCCATGTTTACCTGTAGTTGGGTGTGATGGATATGTTGAAGCCACCGTAGCCATATAAGAAAGCAGGATGAGAGCCGTCCAATTTTATGCCCTTTTTGTGTACGATAAACATTGGAATCTTTGTACCATCCTTGCTAGGGTAGAAAATCTAGAACAAAAGAGAGCAGGGTAGTGAGTCAACCCTCTCCTGCTGTTACACAGGAAGCATGCACAGGTAGTAACGCTGTCTTCAAGATGTAGAGCGGCGCAGTGGACATCCGGGACCACTGTGGGTATCTGATGGTGGGGCATCTTTCAACTTCTATGGAGCGAGTGTGAAGCGGTGAAAAGTGTACGAGTCTGAACACAGGGAAACTTGATTCTGAATTCTTATTCCACAGCTGTCTAGCTAGCTCCCCTTGGGCATACTGTTTATCCCCCTCAGCCTCAGTTCTTCATCCCTAAAATGTGACCCTCACAGAGGCACACAGAACACATGTTTGTTTTTTCGCTCCCAGCACTGGAAAAAGTCACGTCTGGCCATCCTGCCAAACAATTTAATAAGGGAGACTTCTAAGAAACAAATTTCATATTAAACTTCCTCTCTAAATGTTAAGACACTCGACTTGCCTTCATTTTTCTCTGTTCAACTGTTAAATTAATGTTAGCAATGATAAAACATATATTAGCTTAGAGAATAGAGGAGAAACAATGTAAAAATCCTATTATTCCAGGTCAAAGACATTTCTCCAGTATTTTTAATTAAGGCTCATAAAACCTTCCTGAATCTGAGCAACCTCAGGCAAGTTCAGTCAACATTTCTATATTATTTTATGGATAAAAGTAGTAAGAGAATGAGGATAAGAAAGAGAACATTAAATGCTTTCAAACGATAAGCCATAGACTAACCGATAAGCCTCCAAAAGCTAATAATGGCTTCTTTTGGACAGAAAATCTGTAGATAGCTTTCTCTTTGACCAAATACAGTTTCTTTCCCTCAGCTGACATCTGGAGACTGCTCAGAAATGTGTTGCTGACCTAATATATTATAGTCAAGGACATAAGCCTTTACACTTAGTGTGACTTGCAGCCATATTTTATCCAAGGCTTTTAAGGTAGCAGTTTTATTGTAGAAAGATGCTACAAAGTGCTTGGAAATAAACTTGGAGGCGGGGGGCGCAGTGGCAAGGGGAGAGGCGATGCAGATTTGGAGAAAGACACAACAGGGCCACAATATGTGTGTGCAAGTTTGGCAGTTTGTTGAAGCCTGCCAAGAACAATAGTATAAAAAGCATTTGTTTCTGGCTTGGAGAGAAATACTGAAGAATGGATAAATTTGACAGTTTAGGAATCATGGAGAATACTCCACAGAATTCAAAATCACCAGAGGAGAACAGTTTTATTTAAAGTTGATTTAGTGGCAATTAGCAGCCTCTAATAAAGTGTAACTATGTGGGTGGAAGAAGTAAATGCCGAGTAAGAGGAACACACTTCAAGTGATTGGCTGGGAGTAATGAACTTAAAATCCAGGGCCTTCAACTCAGACTCGTGGAGAATTTGGACTACTCTAACCACAGCATCATGATTTTCTTCAGTGACTTTATCAATGAAATTGATGACTTCTGCAGCATCCTGACCTCCCATAGGCTTAAATGCCTCCATGTTAAGACCTCTGCTTCCATCCTACTCATTCAAATATTTGCTGAGTTCACACATGCCAGGGGCTACACTAAACACTGGTGACTAAAGATAAACAAGACTTGGAGAGTTCCTTCCTTCACAGGACTTAAAGTCTACAGAAGTAAGCCAAGGGGCACTACAAACACCCATCCCCTTAGCTTTACCTCTACCCTTAGAACTTCAAACTCCTCTGCAAGGACCTCTGACATTCCCGCTGTGGCGCCTACTTGTTCTTTCACCACCTCCTTCCTTATTCCTGGGGCATCTACCTTCTTCTTCTTCTTCTTCTTTTTTAACTCTTACTATGACATTCAGTCCCTTACACCCTGCGAGGCTGTCAGCTTCCCCTGAGCTGTCTTGCCCAACTTGGAACCCTTAGCCCTTTAAGTGTTAACTAAAGCCCAAAAATCTCTGAATTCTAACCTAGCCCACTGGATTCCTTCTCCTCTGGCTGCTGGGCACTCAGGAAATGCTAACTCACTTCCTGACAAATGGGTAACGCTTGAACTCATGGGCTTTGAACTTATGCCTTACGTCTCCCCTGCCCCCTGAGATGAAATCCTTATGTTTTTCCTTGGGGTTTTTTTTTTTTTCCTCCCTATATCTTTGTAAAATGTCTTCCTGGTACCTTTTTTTGTTCCTAAATCAATTCCAGAGTAGTTCTTTCCAGTGTTTTCCATTTGTTCCCATTCTCAACACCACCCATTTGCATCCCTTACTCTTTATATCTGGCCGCCCACTAGGAGTTCTTAAAAAACCTTCTTTCTGCCAACTTCACTCACTGTCAGACAAAGCAGGATCATGTGCCTTGATTCTATTTCTTACCGACTCCACAACTACCTCACTCTTCCAATTACCACAACTTTCTGTATTCTCTTCCTTTCCTTGGCATACACACACACTCAAATTTCTCCTGTATTATTATTTAATTAAGGAAAAGAGAGAAAAGGTTTACATTGCGTACAGTACATAGTCTAAACTGTCAGAAATGACCCATTTTTATTACCAAGCGTGACTTTCCAGAGACATCACCAGATAGAACGTGGTTTTACTCTGGAAGGGTGTTGGGGCATAAGACAGAAGTCACAGAATAGGTGTCCACTGTCTTAACATCTGAACGTGGTTTCAAATAGATGAAATAAAAACATCTGCTCTAAAGACAACAGAGGCGCAAGTAAACGTAACGAATCAAGGGAATACTACTATTCCTTAAGAGAATGACACCGGTTATGAAAGATCGGCTGTCTCTACCAAAATGATTCCTTTTCCTGAGAGGAATACATTTAGTAACAAAGTCAATCTTGTTAAGACACTCAAAAATGTGCAACCATTTGGGCTCCTGAGAAGACTTCATTCTCACACTTGGTCTAGTTCAGATTTGGTGCTATCTGAGGCAAATGCTAGCACTCGCATTATCACCAGTGACGGGGACACGCTCAGTGCACGAAGGTAAACTGCAAAGGGCACGCCCTTCGGAGAGGAGAATGTCTGGTGATAGCAACTCCTGCCTAATTTTAGAGCCTGACAGGTTCAAAGGAGAATGTTCATAAAAGGGTGTTGAGCTTCCCTTTTTATCAGAGTTGACGGAGGCCACTTGTGTGGCCTGCTCTGAGTATGGCAAATACATCTGACAAGGAGCAGAGCTGCTCAGAAATCCTGCGGTCAACACAAGCCAGGAACCAGACATTCCTTCCCCCCGAAGAGCTGAGTGGAAGGCCACCTCTGTGCTCCCCTCTTCTTATAAAACAAGTTGTATATGGAGAACTTCCTAGGACTTCGAGCAGGCGCTGCAGATTTCTGTATTGTACTTAGGTTAAAACTACTAGTCTGGCACTAGAAAGTTACAATCCCATCTATTTTCCAGGCATTTAGTTCTGGAGGAGTGGGGAGGAGTTTAAGAATCACCTTTAGGCAGAAAATATAAAGGGGAATTTCCTTTCCGTTTTGGTTTACTTTTCAAAGGATGGCTGGAGATTTCTGTAACACTGGAGATTTAAAAATTCCCATGGGGCACCTCAATAACAGCAAAGTCAGTCTATTAAAAATCTATTTTAATGTTTGGTACATCTCTTGAGCACCAACAATGTGCTAAGTGCTATACTGATAGCCCACAGAAACGCATCAGCTCTCTAAGGCTTGGCCGCCTGTTCTTTTGAATAATAAACCTATTCCCAGTCTCAAACCGTGGAGCCAGAAAGTGGAAGGTTCTGGACACAAGGAAAAAGGACAGCGATGGAGGCACATCTGGATCTATGGGTGCTTTGATGAGTTTATTTTAGAGGTAGTCAGGTGTTTTAAGGTAGAAAGACATTCAGGGCCTATGGTGAATAAATATGACTTGAGAGGAGAATATAAAAGCTATCTTCAGTTTTACTGTTCTGATTTCTCTGTGGTCAATGCAAACACTTAATCAGTCATTTTCACTAAAGTGAAGGACCTACTACATGTAGAAGACCAGGGAGGGCAGCACTGTTTTAACAGGCACTGTACCTAAGGGTGTGTTTGCAGAATGTATAAATTGCCCTGTGATAAGGCTCACTACAATTTTAGTGAGATTTAAACTGCATGTGAAATGCACATATGTTTTGCTCTTCATGAAAACAACAGGATACATCATCATCGGGGGTTATGAGCTCTGCACTGTTTGCATTCAGTAAACACTTGCTGAATGAATCAATGAGTTAGAATGGCACATGAAACACTATCTTTCTGATATCCAAATACCTAAGCCAGCTTGCCCCAGTTCCTGAGGCTCAATGTCATCTTGGATGCCTCTCACACACCCTCTTCGCCCCGCCTGCCTTCATGGCAGCCTTGCCATCTAACAGGCCTCTTGCTTCCGATCTGGGCACCTGTCGTCAGATTACTCTCCTGAGATCTTCCTTTTAATCTAAGCCACTCTCCCCCATTGAAAACACGCAGTATCTCCCCATTCTCTACCACACCAATTCCACATTTAGACCAGCAATGAAAACTCTCTGCTCTCTGCCTCCAACTTCTGTGAATCCTTTTCAACCTCAACTGTCCTCCCCAACGACATTGCCATTTCGTACCCCCACGACCCTCTGCTCCCAGTGTTGCACGCCTTTATAGACTGAAGCATGACCAAAAAGGAAAAAACAATTAACTGGCTTTAAGCTTTCCCTCGTTTGACTTCCTCTACTCCTACCCAATGCAGTCAACCCCGGAGCTACACCTCAGGCAGGTTCGACCTCTGGGTGACCATGTGTCGTACTGAGAATGGTACAGCAGCACAAACGGCCCTCATTTCACTTTGGAGCCCCTCTAATTGTTGGAAAGTTCCCCCTTCCCTGAAAATGTAAAAATAACTGAAACTATAGAAAACAAAAGTTAGCCAAGGCTCTGGGAAAGAACCTAGTGATAATAAATTCCTATATAAGCTAACTATCAACTAAAATTTCCATACATTTAAAAAATCTGCCGGTTAGTTTCTATATCTTTCACAATAGAGGTTTCCTTAGTCCTTAT